CTCTGCTATGGTTTGAGTTTTCCCTTCACAGGTTCCTGGGATGGAAGTGTGGACCCCAAGTGGCAATACTGAGATGTGGTAGGAGCTTTAAGAGGGGGAGGGCTTAAGTGAGTGGTCTTGTGACTAGCTCCTTTCTCTCTTGCCATGTGATCCTGCCCACCTGCACTTGATCCTCCACTGTGATGACATCTACCCTGAGGTGACATGGCTACAGCCACCTTCACCAGAGCCAGCACGATGCTGTTTGGCTTTTCAGCTTCCTGAACTGTGAGCTAAATAAATCTCCTTTCTTTATAAAGTACCCAGCCTCAGCTATTTTATTAGAAGAACAGAAAACAGGCTCATTTATAACCCATAGAGAAACAAGGACCCTGGTATTCGTAGAGAGCCAACAGTATCTGAATTAGGATAGAATGAGATGGTTCATGAAAGGGTCTGGCTCCATCCTGAGAGTACCATGGCACTCTGAACACAGAGATGATGGCAAGGTGGTGTGTGTCAGCTGGGCAGAGGAAGGAAAGCTGTTTTGTGATGCTCAAGGTCTATTCTGACTTGGAAAGCCATTTCCTATTGTTATGAGAAGCTCCATGTTCTCGGCCTCTTTGGCGGCATTTCTTAAGTGTAAATGGTATCTCATTTTTTTTTTTAATTACTAGAAAAATACTGATGAAAATGAAGTTTCACTGATTGCATTGTCTTTCAAATTTGCTAACAGGAGACGGTGGGCTAATTGGGACTGCGAACACTGCCCAGCCACGGCGCTGGGGCCAGGGCTCAGGACAGCCACCAAGGAGCTGCTCTTACATCATTTTCTATTCCTATCATTTTCTATTGTTAAACCCTGATTGGAAACTTTACAAATGAGAATCAGTTTCCTTGCCAACCTCAAAAGCACCTGAAAAGCTCCCCATAATTGCAGGACCAAAGGCAATTAGAAGTGCCCACGGAGTACATAAGTAGAGGGCAGAAGGCTTGGAAACACGCGGAGATGAGGACCACATCGGAGGCCATTAAGTTCACAGCACTGTGTCCTGCTGAAAGATCCTTATTGTTTCCATTCTAGAAAAAATATGGCTCCAAGAAGGCCATAAGCATTTATGGGAGTGGAGACTCCGTATCCGGGCAGCGTGGTGTCCTAGGCTTGAGTTTCAACCCTTTCCCTGCCTCTTCTCCACTTCCTCTGGTCCACCTAGGTGACAGGCAACCCTGAGTGTGCCTGTGCCAGCCTTCCTTTCTGTCACCTCCCTTCCTTTCCCTCTGAACTTACTCCCCACATAAAACACAGTTTTCCAATTTTAAAGGTTTGTAAGGATCTTAATTTACTAATGTGTCGTTCTTCTTCTCAGAGAAAATATCCAAGTCTCCATGACCCAAAAGACGGCCTGACAGGATCCCTGCCCACTTCAACCCCTGTCTTCCGACATTTGTCTTCTGACTGGCTATTCTGCAGTGTCCCTGGCTTTGCTTCTGGGTCATGGATGGAGCTGAGAGGGCAGAGCTGTGTGTAAGCCTTAGTCCTGTGGGCAGGAGGAAAGTCAGGACAGGCAGGAAGACAGGAAGGCGGGACCACGGCTCAGACGTGCCAGGTCTGCAATGTGGGGTCTTGATGAAAGGAATAGAAAAGGGAGTGGAGAAGAGACCAGGAGATAATTTTAAATCTGTGCATTAAATAGTACACAGCAAGCATACACGATGTGTCCCGCATCTAGGCCTTACGATAACTATGTGAGGCAGCTTGTACTCTTATTCTATAGATTAGAACATAGAAGCTCATAGAAGTTAAGGATCCTGCAGTGTCCACATAGCTAGCAAATGGCAGATATGGAATTTGAGTTAAAGTCAGTTTTCTTTCTGACTCCAAAGGCTGAACCCTTTTTCACTGCAGGAAACCTTAGAGGAGGATCCAGCAATGCAAGTTCCATGTTGTTTTGATTACAAGGCTGTCCCTGTCTCCAAAGGTAAAGGGTTTACAGCATTTATATCAATGCACATCGGCCCTCATCTCCTCCCAGACAATAATTACATTGACAAAATGATCAACTATCAAGAGGGGACTATGAGCCACAGAATCAAGAGCACACGCACATGTGAGTATGTGATATGACCAGGGTGGGGAAGTTTGACTGGGTGGCTTTGGGTCAATTTCTTTCCTTCTCAGAGCTTCGGTTCACTTGTTTATTCATTGGGACTAGTAACACTTTGTCAGAGGAGCGGATACACCCACGTGTTTAAAGGGCCACCTTGTAACACTGGCTCTGAAGTTTTCCACCAGGAAATGACATAAGGCCCTTCTTTCATTCACAGTTCAGCAGCCAAAGCAAGATACGTGGCCACACCTGACTCCAAGTAAGAATGGTTCCAGCATATATCTGGAAAGAGGACCAGAAATATTTGAACACCCAGCATGCATTCTTTCTACCATATTCTTTAAAAATAAATGTATATTTGGTTGTCATGTTTCAAACACTTTTGTGGCATGAATTTTAAATAAATTGTAAACATGTATTATATTAGGTATTTATAGAGTGACTATATCCTCTTGAGATGTTGCCTGTGCCAATACTGGAAAAGGAATCATCTCTCAGTGAATGGTGTCCAGGGCCATGAAGAATATTCTCCATCTTCACCACATTTGCCAAAAAGGACTTTAGAACTGCTATGGACCAACACTGCTGTGTTTCTCCAAATCTCTTCTTCTTAGTGGAAGTGCTCATTTCACTAAGCCTCATTCCAGTGTATGTGTGTGTGTGTGTGTGTTGAGGGGAAGGTGTGGTGGCCATGGCAGTGGTAAATAATTTGTTCTATTGGTTTATAGGTCTCCTGATCAAGTGAAGACATATATTGGCTTGCTATAGACCTCCTCTGCACGTCACTTGGATAGATTACCAGGAATCACTCAGGCAGCCTGGACGTTAAAACTGGAGACAGTAGCTGGTGAGACGTTGGGTCTGTCTTAGGAAAGAGTAGGTGCATTCTTACATGAGAAAGAGAGTCAAATAAATACTTGTCGACCAGGTGGATACACTGCCGTGCTTATCAAAATTATTTGTTCCTAATTTCTTCCAGATATATCATCATTGTCACTTCCCTGCCCTGTGAAAGTTAGCTGTGACTTGCTTTAGCCAATAAAACAAAACAGGAATACAAAAATGATTGGGATCACTGATAATTGGAAGCATTAAAAACTTTTCTACGACTTGCTATGTTTTATTTTCCTCTTTTTAGGTATCCAGCAACATGACTGCTCTGTCTGCTTGGATCCTGCTCTGAGGATAGAGCAGAGAAGAGAAGATCCCTATTTATTTGCAGTGGCTATGAAGTTAGAATTATTTTAATTAATTGAGAATTGGGGCTTGCTTATCACTGCAGCACAACTTAGCCTATTGTAACTGATTCAACAATTATCTCAATTATTTATAAAATCACTTTTTATTTGGTGGGACAAGACCCCCACTCAGAGGAGCAGATAAGTGACTAGGAAGTGGTGGTTGTAGCTGGCTTTGCAGAGGTGGGGACAGGTTTCTGTGGCAGGCTAGGATGACAGGGATCCAGATGTGGTCTTTGAGGGCCTATAGGGAGCATCATGGTAAGGTTCATGAGGGACATGCCTAGGGCCCTCTTTTCTTCTGGGCATTCTCCTGGCTATGTTCACTGGTAGCTACAGTAGTATCCCAGCTGGAGCATTGAGCCGCACCAAGACCAAGGGCCATTGCTCTAGCACAGCTGTGTCAGTGGTTGATGATTTCTATGCACCATCTAATTTAGTGCCTTGCTATACCATTTAGTTCCATGGAAGCCTGCCTGGTGATATTGTTCCCTTTCCTGGTATCCTGGGAAACCACATATTGAACAAACTCTCATCCCTGAGTTCTATTGAACATGTCACCACCAGGTGATGCATGTCAGATTGAGTAGGTGACTTATGCTCAAACTACCTTCTCTCCTCTCCCTCTTTAGCTTCATCTCCTTCCTGGGTCTGGCCTCCAAAGTGCTCCCAGGCTGTACTATGTGAACCTCTTTCCAACTCCTGCTTCACAGAGCAGCCCAGAACTCACCCGATTTGTTTTTATACGAGCCCCACATTTATCTGGGACGATGGGACTTGATGGGTTAGGTGGACTTGAGCACCAGCAGATGCTCTGCATGAAGTTCTGGAACAGTCCCCTGGGGAGAGTAGGGGACAGCTGTATGATATCCCACCTCCCTCCTCATCCTCCCACAGTGAATGTCTGAAGTCACAGATCTTGGGAATTTTCACAGAATCCTTTGCCACAAGGCCGGGTCATATCTCACAGTGCTGATCTGTTTCTTTGGGAGCACCCTCCTTCCCCTCTGCTATCTCACGAGAATCCTTAGTCCTTGAGACAGCACAGGCAAAGACTCCAGCAGATCTAGTGAAAGGCAGAGTTATCTGTGTGCATGCACAGAGGGCTGGCTTTCCAGCTTCCACATCCCGAATTGGGGACTAGAGGCACAGCTGAGGAAATGAGGAGGGAACAGAGGGCCCACCAGGGAGGGGCTAGGGCTGAGCTGACTTTGAGCATGACCTCCATGGTCTTATGATCTGTGGACAACTCACTCCCCACAGCCCTGGGCATTCATAAGTCCCCTTGGACAGAGGGTTGGGGACTTGGGCCACTTGTGTGGGGATAAAGGGAGCCAATTGGCAATTTCAATAGAAGATTCTACATTTAGCCTTTGCTCTATGCAGCCTTAGTTTGGAACTAGATAAGATTCCAGGAGAATATATGGCATTAGCCACTCAGAGGTAACTGCCCATGTTGATCTAAAATCAAAATCGAGTCTCAAGCCAAGTGCTTCCTGATTACACAGCTTTAGTGTCTGGATTAAAACTTAGGTTTCATAAGACCTATTTTATTAGTCAGGGGTAGCAGAACATTTTTTTTTCTGGCTAACTCTTATACTACTTGCTTTTCCATTAGCATCTTTCATAGACTGGATACAAACATAGTCAGGAGAAGGACTCCACTTGGTGTTACCTTGCCAACAAGCACCGACAGTAAGTTGCATGGCTATGTGAGACGGGTGAATGGGCCAGTCGTTGGTCACCAGGTAGGGCTCATATGTGGCTCCATCCATGTACAGCGTAACCACAGGAAACTCCACATTGATGACATAGTAATGCCACTCTTTGTCACAAATCTAATGAAGAGGAAAAAAAATAAGAAAGACAAGAGTTAAAATCAAATATGCAGCTCAACATCAAACAGCCTCCTTTATCCTAATTGTGAAAGGTGAGGAAGACATTTCTGAGTCAACAATTGTTATTGCCAAAAATTCAAGGAACATGGTGGTTGACATACACTTGAGGTTACAGAAACTCATTGTCATACACAGTGAGAAGAGGAACACCTGAGAACCCAATCCTCAGGTGAGTAGAGTGGCCCTTCAATTTTCTCAGAGATTGGCTCCAAGGTGCCCTGCCAGGACCCAAATCTGCAGAGGCTCAAATTCCTTATATAAAATGATGCAGTGCTAGTTTAGTCAGCTTGGTTGCTGCTGTGTCTAGAAGACTGACAAGAACAATTGTAGAGGAGGAAAACTTTATTTGAGGCTCATGGTTTCAGATGTCTCAGTCCATAGATAGCCAGCTCCGTTTCTCAGGGTGTGAGGTGAGGTCAAACATCATGGTGGAAGAGTGTGGCTGAGGGAAGCAGCTCACACAATGATTAGGAAGCAGAGAAAGACTCCCTTTGCCAGATACAGACTATATACCCCAATGCCCACCTCCTCCAGCCATACCCTACCTGCCTTCAGTTACCGCTCAGTTAATCCATAACTGGGGATTAATTCACTCATTAGGTTAAGACTTTGATATTTCAATCATTTCACATCGAAACCTTCTTGCATTGTCTCACATGTGAGCTTTTGCGGGACATCTCATATCCAAACCGTAACAAGTACTTAAATATGGTCCCCACACATCCTCCTCCATAGTGAAACTCATTTTTAGATTACTCATAATACCCGATACAATGTAAAGGGTCTATAAATAGCTGTCATGCTGTGTTGTTTAGGGAATAATGACAAGCAAGAACATCTGTTCTTGTTCAATACAGATGCAATTTTTTTCAAACAGCTTTGATCCTCTGCTGGTCGTAGAATCTGTGCACACAGAACCTGCAGATACAGAAGACTAATTTCATTTGACTAAAGGCAGGTAATCTTGGTCACATCATGACCAGCTACCTAGGCTGACAGATTTTTGATGGACAGGTAGGGGCGTCAGCATAAATTGCTTTGAATAAAATTTCTCTTATTTCTTTAGTAGAGAAAAAGTTCAGTTGGAATCATTTGTCTAAGTTTGGGGATAGATGGGATTCTTAAAAAAAAAAAGGTGCTAAATTGAATGCATAAATAAAGATGAAGATAAAGGAGAGGAGAGAGGGGTACCAGAAAAGGAAAGATGAAGAAAGAATGAGGAATTAGAAGGGAGTGAGAGACGCCAGGGTTTGTCCACCCCCACAAAGCCTCAGATATTAAAGGAATGGTCCCCAGCTGGTGGTACTTTTGGGAGATGGTGGGAACTGGAGGAGGTGGGGGCTAGCTGGAGGAAGTAGGTCACCTGAGGCATGCTGTGGAAGGGACCCCAGCCCTTTCTTTTCTTGCTCACTGCCCTGAGGTGAGCAGTTGCTTCCACCACAGGCTCCTCACCAGGATGTTCTGCCTTTCCCCAGACAGGGTCAAGTCACCCTGGACTGAAACCTCTGAAACTTGAGCCAAATTTAACCTCTCCTCCCTGTAAGTTGTTCTTCACAGGTTTTTTGCCACAGAAATGGAAATCAAATGAACAGAGAGGCAATGAATACAGAAAGAGGAAGAATTGCAAGACCTGGAACCTCAGTGTTGGTTGAAGGGCTTGCCCGAGAAGCTGCTGTCATCCATTGGCCCTTTCAACTCCAGCAAAATCAAATTTGATGGGGAGAGTCTTCCCAGCGCACTCAGCTGTCCCTACCCTGGCGCACCCAAGAAGGCAGGATCTCTATTGGACCCTCCTGGCCTGGATTCGGGGCAGGGCACTGTCACATAAATCCTGACAGCCTGCGGCACTGGAGACTCTTGGTCTCAGGCTGGGGGACTGGTTTTATTGGCTTGGTAGAAATGTGGGAGAGTGGGCTGCAGTTATAATTCCTGACCTCAAGAGCCTGAAGTCTTAGAGCATCATCCAAAATCAAAGCCAAGACTAGTACATCCTGGGAAGGAGACAGGAAGTGTGAAGGCCGCAGGACTCGGGGACGTGTCACTCTCCTCCCTCTGCCTTCCTTGTGCCTTGGAGTCATGCTGGACTCTGCCATTCTCCCTCTGCACCCCACAAAGTCCTCCTCTGATACATCTTGTCTGCATCCCCTGGTCTCCATCGCCCCTGCCGTCTGTGGCAGGGGAGATAGATGAGTTCCACATGAAGGTGACCCTAAGGTGAGGCTCAAAGCCCTCCCTACATCCCACTGTGGATTAAATGTGCTGTTTCTCATGAATAGATAACACCAATAGGGATGCTAAATGATCTATTCCTTTCATTTTGGAATAAGAATTTTTCCCTTAATGTTCTTTTTATATTGTCCTGTCTCATGTCTCATAAAATTACTCCTTTTGAAGCCCATTAGCCTGATAAAGCCTGATGAATATTTTAGGAGGCTTTGGGAGGGTCCAGAAGCGTCACTCTGAAGTCTTGTGACACTAAGTGAGAAGCCCTGACTCAGGTGACACTCCTCTTCTCCAGGATGTCCTGGGCCAGACCCTGATTTGGTACAGGAATCTTGGGCTGGGCATGTGACCAGGGAGAGGTGGTCTTGGGTTGTAGGGGTGGCACAAAGGGAAGTCTGTCTAGGCTGGTGGAAGATTGGGGAACTAAGAATATTTGAATGAAGATGTAATCCAAGAAGCCCAATGCGGCCTGGGTGTGGGGTTGGCAATTGAGGACAAACTATGGTTCACATCCTGGGGAGGTCCCCAGAGGCATCTGGAAGTCCACGTGACAGTGAGGTGCTCCTGATCATATCCTGCAACCTGCAGGAGGTACAAGCCAACAGGCAGTATTGAGGGTTCCCCAGTCCTGGGCCCATTGTCACCCCCAAGGTGGTGCCAATCTTCGGGAGACTGGCAGGTTGCCTCTGTGTTGCACCTGACTCTACAGTGCCCCGGTCTCCAGTAGCTGGATGGAGAAGGTCTCTCTGGTTTTCGTTAATTTCACAACACTTAGCCCTTTTATAAGACAATACCAAAAAAATTCCCAGGAAGAGACAATATGAGTAATTTCCTATTATCACAGCACTAGTAATCCTTCTCATTATTACAATTTTTTTCCTCAGTGTTTTTCTTCCAGCTTTTTGAATCGTGCTCCACTGGTGAGCAGCTGCCGTGGTGTCCTGCATTAAAAGAATGACCCTGTGTGCTGAGCTGAGCCACTTTTGGGTGGGTGGAGTGGCTTTCCCCTTCCCAGTAGCATACCCAAGGCTCCCAGCAGCCTCAAAGTGCATGCCTGTGATAACTTCAGCCTCGTTGGAAAATGAACTTTTCTACCTAGAGCACTCCCATAAACATCCTGCGAAGCAACAGTTGGGGAAGGTATATTTTTTTAAAAAATATTTTTCAGTTGTTGATGGACCTTATTTTATGTGCCTCACACATGCTAGGAAAGCGCTCTACCACTGAGCCCCAGCCCCAGCCCGGGGGGAGGTCTATTTAAATCACACTGTATGACAGTTTGAAAGTTCACATGTACCCCTTAACATCGGCATGAAAATACCTTCACAGACTTCATTTCAAATGGCTATATGATATGGAAATACTATAATATACTTAACTCCTCCTTTAGTATCAGATGCTAATTTTATATCCACTCTGACAAATGGTGCTGTAATTAATTTCTTATGAATAAATATTTGTTTGCATTTCTGATGATATCCTTAGGAAAGATGCCTGGAAACGGAATTTCTGGGTCAAAGATTGGGGCTATTTTTAAGGTTCTTGATACATATTGTCAACTTTTTTTTTCCTTGCAAAATATTGTAACTATTTATATTCCTATCCACAGTATATGAGGATGTGCATTTGTCTCCTTGCCACTTTAAGTACTAAAAAGTAAAAGCAAGAAGGAAAGAAAATCAGAATTTGAAATTTGAAAACGGATACATCTTATCTCCTTTTAATATGGGCTGCAAAAGATGGCAATATTTACATTCTTCAAAATGAAAAGAGAGGGATTCTGGGTGAGAGGAACAACCTGAGTCCAAATTCAGAGGTCAGAAAATGATTGGGAGCTGCCTGGTGAGCTCCTAATTGGGCCTCCTAACAGTCTTTTAGTTCCTACTGAGCTTATGGTCTGTAGATTTATCCCACCAAGTAATCTGTATTAGCAGCTAAAGGAAGTGCCTAATTAGGGTTTCATAAATGTGGATCTATGATCAAGAAGAGACCTGCATTGACCCTCTGCTAGAACTATGGGGACAAACTATAATTGAAAAATGATCGAGCCAGAAGGCAACAAAAACAAATGTGTCAATGTTCAACCAAGACAGAAGGAAATTAGGCAAAGTGACCTTTCCTAGGGGGAGAGAAGAACTTGAATTCCTAAGTGCTTGTGAGGCACTCACTGGTGAAGCCAGCTGACATCAAGCACGTCAATGCCACCATCCCCTTAGATGATGCTCAGAAAACTTTACTCTCAGAACATCTGCAAATGTTTCCATTGAAGGTGGCTGTAGCTGCTGTCCAGCTAGTGAGTGAGTCACAAATCCAGACACAAATGTCCAGGAAAGATAGTAGGGACAGAGTCGAAGGAGGTCGGAATTAGGAGCGGGCTGATATTCATTCCAAGCCATCAGGGGCCAGGGAAGCTGCTCATGACATGAAAAGATAAAAAAGACCAAAAAAAAAAATCCTCTTTGCAGATGCTGAAAGGCTGATCCACGTGCCTGACACAGGGCCAGATGGGGAGTCCTGACTCGGTTTCCCCTGTTAATCAGTTATTTTTGAACATGGCTGTTCAACATGGGACATGTTCACCTACCAATTATCATGAATCAATCACTATGTCTACTAGGGGCTGCAAGGGATGCAGAGTTTATGAGATATGTCCTTTGCCTTTAAGATTTTCAATCTACTGGAGGACATGGTGTATTGAGTTCACAAAATATTCAAAT